ATCGATGTTTGGCATCACTATGCAAGATGGAGAAGCATAGGTGGTAGGGATGAAATGATCTCTAAGAGTCATTGGCTCGATATTAGGAATTTCAGCCCTTTCATTCCCCGGATTTCCTATATTATCCACCATTGTATTAAATTCAGTTTCAAGATCCCGTGTAAGAGTAGGTTCCCTAGGGTTCCGTCTAAGAGTTCTTTCAAGAGAGTTAATATCAATGGGAGAACCGATTGTGGGTAAGGAAAGTGACCTACGACCGAACATCAACAACAAAGCATATACTCAACAAAGCAATTCATCAACCACAACTCCACATACGATGTTCCCTTTCTCCTCAATTATCAAGACAGAAAATAAATGGCCACGACAAGGACCGATGCTTGAACACGAAATTAAAACAATAATATAGCCTCAATAAGGGCTTGCAAATAAATTAACTACTTCTAAGCTTAACACATGCACAAAATATAACAATGCGAAACTAAAAGGTCAAGAAGCTTACCTAGGGTCCTCTAGACTTACACTTTGCTAGCGTTCCCACGGCGAGAGTTGAGTCCCTAGAATCTTACAACATGAAAATGGTTAAACCACACGAGAAATATGCACAAAACACAATATTAACAATCACACTAAGTTTAACCCTAAAACTTTGGTTGCTAAACCGTATGCAAGTCCCCGGCAACGGCGCTAAAAATTGATTGGTTGGTCAATTATACATCAACTTTCGCAATAGCACAAATCATTATAAAATAGGGCTATTGGTCGGGTAAGTCGAACCACTGGGACTGCGCTAGTCTATGACAACCTAAGAGTCTAGAATTGTTCTTAGAATGATAAGGGGTAATAAGGGTTTGTTTGATAGTCACTAAACTAAGAATTCAAAGTGTATAAAACAATAGTGTGCTAGGAAGTAAAGAGATAGAACAATAGAGAAGAGACTAGGGAATTGACTTCACCACAAGCCATATAAACATACCTAATTGCAATTAACTTGGGGAACAAAGTATACATGCAACCATGATATGTAGAAATACAAGACAACTACAATATCTTCAAGAAGTTCACACATTCAAGAATTAAGTATAATCCATCCAAGGTTGGCATAAGTCATCTATCTAAACTAGGGTATAAAATGAAGTATCCTTCCTAAGCTATGAACTATCAAAGTCCTCAATTTGTGTGGTAAGTGCACATGAAGTCAAGAACTAAGCCATAATCCATCAAAGGTTTCTCTAAGCCATGGAATATCAAATTTCTTAAACAACATGCCATTAAAACCATTGTATAATCTCATCTTCATTCTCACTATAAAGATGTAAGTAGCATAATCATGAAGAAACAATTTCTAAGACAAGATAAGAGTCTCTACAACATTAAATATGGAATGAAACACAAATACATCAAAGTGTATCTCTAGATTAGACAACTTATTACATAAATGCAAAGTTCCCCAAATATAAACACAATTAATACATATTTACTTGATAAGGGTTACATCAACTCCCTAAGAAGAGGTTTAGTTACCCATGGTAGCTCTAGATGAAGGAGGAAGCAAGGCCTCCAACTCCATTTTCGTGCTCCCTTGTGTTGGCTTGAAGAACTCCTCTTTCTTGCTCTCTTCTCTCTCCTCTGTCTTCTAAAAAATGAAGCTTATCCCATTGTGTGGCTTTGCTTCCCTCTTATCTAGATCAAGACCCCAACCAAGGCTCTCTCTCCTCTCCAAAAACATCCCCAACCACTCCATAAAGAGGGCGATAAAAAATGAGGAAAATAAGGTGCAAGTGGCTGAATTCCGAAGGGCATTCTGCCCAAATTTTGAGTGCTCGAAATAGGGCCTCGAGCACTCAAAAATGGAGCGGATTGCTCCATGCTTGCCTTGCTTTGCCCGGACCTACTTTGGTAAAACAGCCATAACTTTGCGCTCTGAACTCTGAATGATGAACCATTTGAATATTTAGAAAGATAATTCAGAGCTCTAAAAAATTTATGTTTTGGTGGAGATCCAATTCTCAAGTCTGGTTGGTCGAAATTGAAGAGAAAGACAGAAATTCATTGCTGCCAGGCAGTTCTGAGCACCTCTGATAAGAAGATCATAACTCTCTGCTCCAAACTCCGAATGACAAACCGCTTGAAGATTTGGGAAGCTGATTCAGAGCTCTAAATATATCATGTTATGAGGGAAGTCCAGTTCTCGAGTTTTCAAGGTCAAAATGGCTAGGAAAGCCCAGGTTCCACTGCTGCCAGAAATTCAGCATTGTGACCTTTGATTGCTCAAGATTCCACAAGGCCTTATTCTTGTTCCATTTTGGCCAATGAACCTGAAAATATACAAAAACGTGCAAATGAAGATAAACTACATACAATAATCAAGTAAAGGACTTAATTAATGCAATTTAGGGCGCTTGAATATACAATATTTGGCGCTTATCAATTATTCGGAGTTCGGAGCGCAAAGTTATGGCTGTTTTACCAAAGTAGGTCCGGGCGACGCAAGGCAAGCATGGAGCAATCTGCTCCATTTTCGAGTGCTCGAGGCCCTATTTCGAGCACTCGAAATTTGGGCAAAATGCCCTTCGGAATTCAGCCACTTGCACCTTATTTTCCTCATTTTTTATCTCCCTCTTTATGGAGTGGTTGGGGATGTTTTTGGAGGAGAGATAGAGCCTTGTTTGGAGGTAGATAAGGGGAGGAAAGCCACACAATCTCATATCTCACTTTTGGATCAGATTTTTGGAGAGAGAAGAGAGCAAAGAGGATGAGTTCTTGAAGCTTCAAGGAGGAAGCTCGAAAATGGAGGGGAAAGCCTTGCTTCTTCCTTCATCTAGGGCCACCATGGGTAACTAAACCTCCTCTAGGGAGGTGATGAAGCTCCATTTTGTAAGCTTTGCTTTGTTTTGATTTATATTTGGGGGTTAATATATGTATGTAATCCTTCCATGAACTAGAGCTCTTCATTTGATGTAATGAATTTCAATATCTATACATAATCATCTTGAGTTAAATATCTTGTCTTAGATGGTTTTTCTCCTATGATTATATTGCTACATTTTCATAGTGACACTGGAATGGAGTTTATGGAAGTGTTGTTAATGGCATGATATTTAGGAGATTTGATAATCTATTGCTTAGGATCTTCCTTTGATAGATTATTCTTGGATTCTATGTCATGTGCTTCTAATATGTGATTAAGGGCTTGATAACTCTATGCTTAGTGAGTATGTCTAAGGTTACAACCTAGTTTAGGTAATCAAAACATGCAATGCTTTGATAGGTTATTCTTACCTATTGATTTCATAAATTTCTTGAAGAGAATGTAATAATTTGTGCTGTTGCATCCCATGGTTATACATATATGTTATTCCCCTAAGTAAATCATATCCTAGCATGCTTATTGATGGTTGTGGAGTCTCTTCCCTATTCTCTTCTCTATTGTTCTATCTCATCTAATTCTTGCAAGTCACTATTGTTTGATGAATTCCTAGTTTAGCGACCATCAAACAAACCCTTATTACCCATTATCATTCTAAGAACAATTCTAGACACTTAGGTTGCCATAGACTAGATTATTCCCAGTGGTTCGACTTACCCGACCAATAGCCCTATTTTACAATGATTCGTGCTATTGCGAAGGTTGATGTATAGTTGATCAACCGATCATAGACTAATCAAGTGGAAGAGACTTGGTTAAAATTTTTGAACTACCTGTAATTCCAAAAGTTGGCTAGAAGGCCACAATATTAATAACAGATTTTCTTATTCTTTCGTAGGTTTGTTATACAATTCAAACTCAAAGTCTATGGACTAATTATGAACTCTCTCGTGGTCTATGCCCTAACAAAACCCCGGTCATAAGTTTGCCCCGTAAATGACGGAGAGAGACAAAGTCCATACTCCAAATGACAATTTCTCTGTAAATTCATACTTCTCTTTGATTAAATAATTAGTTTGTATAATTAATTTGCCTTGTTTGACCAAAAATCCTATATTTGTCCCCACAAAGTGGTCTTCTACTAAAGTACAGGTGAAGTCCTGAAGTTCTCTCCTTCCCTTGGAACTGCCAAAAAAGTGATAAAAGGGTTATGCAACATGTGTTTGATGGAGGTGTTATTACTGGGCAGAGTGAATGAAAAAAAAAAAAACACAACACATGAACAACAAAATAGACTTGAAACGTTTTGGAATGGTTAAAATTATTGAAAAACCTAAGACTATTTGATTGTATATGCGTTTATCATTTAGTTTCTTTAATTTTTGTTTTTGATTAGTTTAATAATGCCTTAAACTTGATTTTGATAATCAATTAAATCGAAATTGGAAACACAATTTTAAAATTAATTCTTAACTATGAAGATTATATGATTGTTATTTTCATTTAAAATGAGAAACAAAACTTAAGCCATAGATTAAATAAAAAAATAAAAAAAGAGGAAAAGTCTTAGGTTATGTTTGGCCATTTGAAATTGAAGAAAAACAACTAACAAAATTGAATTAAAATTTTATTTAATTCAAATTTCAAAGTTTCAATTCTATACCGCCAAACATGGCCTTAGAATTTTCAAACAGGGGGTCAAATTTTCAAGTATGCACATAGCATGTCTTTAACTTTGTAAGAGACCTGTCATTCATCAAAGGGACGGGGTTTACTGTCAAGATCATTAACTCTGAGTTATCGCCATCAAATGGTTAATATATATACCAAATTTTCTATGACTTCTGCATGATCAAACAAGGCAGAGCTCAATTTCCATTTGGCATTGAGAAATGAAAGCAGCCAAAATATAAGACATGACTTCACAATTATGTGGCTTAATTGGTATCTATTTCTAAACTGAAGTTCATTGAAAAGTTCCAAGCAAAGGTCATTGTGGGGTCCCAATGCAGCTTCACTAACGTCTGAAAGTAGGGACACATTGTTTTCACACACATCACACAGTGTCAATTGAACAAGTATATATAGCCCTCTCCACTTCTTTCACCAAAACTAAACCAAGCACAAAATCTTTCACCCATTTCAGCTTCTTTCTGTACAACTGTGACCATGGTTTTCTGTAAAAACCTAGCAATCTTAGTTCTTGCACTTGCCTTCTGTGTGCAAGCCACTCTGGGTGAGTGAAAGTTTCTTCTCCAATTACTAATAAATTGTATATTATCGCGCGTGTCGCACACACAAACACCTAGTAATTACACAACTCATTCTGGCTCATACCTCTTGCTCTGCCTCTCTTACCATTTACTTATCTTGCAATCATTTTTCTTAACGTTCCAATGTCATATTATCATAAATTAGGAAACAACTCATATCAATTTGATTCAAATATATCTATACATATATATACTTTGACAAGAAACACACACATCCATGTACTTTGTTGTCCCTAAAGGGACTTAAATCCTCGACCTTCTACTTTAACAGTTTAAATTATTAAAATTACACACTCTGTAACGTGTAACACTGTAAATATTTTAGGCTAGATGGTTGTTAACATATGTTTTTAATCTCGGGATGTAGGAGAAATGGCATGCGAGAATCTGAACAAGGACTCGTGTGCATTTGCGGTATCATCTTCTAGCAAGCGCTGTGTGCTTGAGAAGCATGTGCGCAGAAGTGGGGAAGAAACATACACATGCCGTACATCTGAGATCATGGCTGATAAGTTGAAGGACTGGATTGAATCGGACCAGTGCATTGAAGCTTGTGGGCTTGAAAGGAATGTGCTCGGAATCTCATCTGACTCTCTTCTGGAGTCTCACTTTGCCAAAAAGCTTTGCTCGCCTCAGTGCTACGATAGTTGCCCCAACATTGTTGATCTCTACTTCAATCTTGCTGCTGCTGAAGGTATTACTCACACATACTTTGTTAAATAAGAAAAAGTGATGTATAACTCTCTAAACCAAAATGTTAGCCTACTAATAGCATAACTTTCACTTGACTAATCTTAAACTGATCGATGTAAGCTTATGTACTTCATAATGTTGGTGCATACTTCAGTCACTTTTTAAAGCAAAACTCTATAATTGATAAGAGAAACAATTGGCATGTTAAGTTGTTTGTTTCAAATTTCTGAAAAAAGTTCAAGAGAACCAAAAAGTAAATTTATAAAAGACAATTTTCGAAAACAAGCCATTTTTTGAACTATACCCTTTTTTGAAAACTACAACCAAACAAGTTTATGTACTCTTTTTCTCGTTTTTCAGTTTTTTAACAGCTCTACTTAACCAATATATATATATATATACACACACACACACACACACACACACACACACACACACATATAACATACATGGGATGAGCTTAACACTTACTTGCATGCTTATAAATAATCATATAAAAGTTTACATTTAACATATGTTCCCCGTCAGGTGTATTTCTTCCCAAATTTTGTGAAGCACAAGGAGCAAATGCACGTCGTGAAATGACTGACATCAAAAGCTCTGGATTCGTTGCCCCTGGACCTAAATCAGGAGGGGTGCTCCCAGCAAAGTTGATTGTTGCGCCTGCAATGGCTCCTTATTGATTTTCATAATAGATTTTATACTCATTAGGGTTTATTTCACTATAGCTGCGTGCATTAAGGCCATTAGGGTGTGAATTGTAATATATATATATATATATATCTCTTGTTTCCACCAATACAAGAATCAATAAGGTGGTGTTTGGTAGTTAGTAATTGGGATTTATGATCTGTTGCTTGTAAGCTGTTGCATATGCAGCAAACATAGTCACTCTAGTGCATATGGTTGCATTGAGAGTTTGAGAAATGAAATAAAATTAAGGTTCAGTTTGTGTTTATAGTGATGCATGTTTAATTTGTTGCAATATTCGGAAATGTTTTTTTTTTATTTTTTTTTGAAAGGTAAAATGAATTTATTGAAAAAAGAAACAGTACATCACCAAAGGAAGAGGGCTCAAGAAAAGCCCAACTTAACAAATTACGAAGACAATCCAAAGATGACAAGCCCAAAGGCAACAACCCAATACACAATTGAGAGCAATGGACGCCGTTACCAGCAGATCCACATTCCGGTCAGTGCATGGAGGAAACCTCCGCATTTAGGTATCCGGCGGCTTCGGAGGACGCAAAACAGAGCATGGCAGATTCCATTCTTGGATAAGAAGAGCACCCAAAGCATTCCTGCAATCCTGAATAAGAAGAGCACCAAACTTGGTTGGAATTTAAAGAAGAAACATGTTAGAAAATTGTCAAGAAGTCTACTTCTCAGAGAGGGAATTTATTTCCAGGCTCCAATTTCTTCAATTCTATCAAATGGTATCATTAACCATATGGAATATAAGGGGACTTAATTGCCCCTTAAAGCAGAAGGAAGTTAAAATTTTCTCATTGATAGGAGGATCGACATTGCATCCATTATTGAAACCAAAGTACAACTGACCAATATTCGGAAATGTTGTGAAACAATTTTGTGGGATTTTAGTGAAGAAGGAGAATTGAGCTTAATTTTACACTAGAGATTTACAAATTTGTCTTTTTATTACTCCTTGATTAAACTGGGTACTAAAAACGTTCGGATGACTATGGACTTGAGATACTATAGTCCACACTAACTACAGGTTGATAAATTTGACTATTAGATTTCAAAAGAGCAATGTACTTAATTACCAAAAATAAAAAATAAAAATAAATTAAAAAAAGAAGAGCAAAGTACCCCAAATTATTATTTCATCTTGGGAGTTCCATTTAGATTTATTGATCAAGAAATTTTCGATCTATACATATTTGTTTCAGTTTTCCAACATTATTACCATTATGTTTAGAAGCGCTGAATCTATTCTTAAATTTGAATTTGAAAAAAAATTAGGTAGTTCAAAATTTAAACTAATAATTTTATAATTTTAATTACACGTTACCAACTTCATGCCATCAAAATATTAAAACATTGGAGTCCATGTGGTTATTATATAGAATTGCATATTTGGGTGCATAAAGAACAACTCAATCACCCTTTGAAAAAACATAAATAAATTATTTGAATCACATGTATATACGGAAGGATACAAATTTCTTAAACGAGATTTGAATATATATATATATATATATATATATATATATATATATTTATTTATTTATTTATTCGTTGTTCGAGCAATAACGAAAAAAAATTCTTAAGGTCTACCCAGCCGTTAGATGCACTTGAAGGACTTCCCAAAGCCTACCCTCAACATACAAATCATTGTAGAAAATATATCCATAACACAAAAGTTCTGCTATTTGGGTATGAGCAATGCTTGCATCCTGCGCGCAGGGACGATGAGTTCATCCTTCGTGCTGACGTGACCTTTCTCATACTGACACCTATTCAAAATAAAAAATAATAAAAATATAAGTAATACCCATTTATAAGGGTTAAAACCATTTTTCTTTCTCACTCTCTTCTCTCTCTCTCTCTCTCAATACCTAAATTGCGCTACAACAGACCCTTTCTAATCTTCCCATCTCTCTCTCAAACCAAGCCTCAACACTCATCCAAACACCCCCAATTGCAAGTGCGACTCAACAATTTTTGCAATTTTTACTGCAAATCAAAAGCCTCCAATTTTATGCTCTTCAAACCCTAGGTCAAAGTATCCTCTATCTATGCATATTAGATGATGGATTGCGATTATAGATGATTAAGGGCAAGAAAAAAAACGAAGAACGGATGATGAAAAAGAAGTTGAGTGAACGAATACAACCCAGAATGATACCAGTCATATATATAACCTAGAAAGTAATAAATGGATAACGCCACTTTTGTAGGGAACACGATTACGCTTAGCATATGCAACAAGCCTTTTAAACCCCTAAGTTACCCTTAGTGGACGAGTGAAGTCTCGTGAGGGTTTCCAGAAATGATTCCCACAAACATTAAGCTCATTCTTTCAAAAGAGGTAACAATATTGCAAACAAGCATTGGGAGAAAACTATTTCAAGTATACAATGTTTTAAACATTTCTAAGCAATCTCCCAAAATCTTAATATCAAGCAAACAAGTATGATCCTCCACACATCAAGAAAATGATCATGCAAATCAAAACAACTCTAGAATCCTTTTTGAGTGGACCGGCATCAAGTGTGTTACTATCTTAGCCAACTAAAGAATTAATCACATCCTTACCCTCAAACTAGCACACAAATCTAGTACCAATTATTAAGACAAAGAGTGGATCTTTTATTAAAGCTTTATTGTTCTAGGTACGTTTATTTTATTTTTTTATTTTTTTTTAATTTTTTAGGATCAAAGATGGAAGCATGGTGCAATGTATTGATATATTAAGCTTTCTAGCAATTCATGAGGTCGAGCGTTAGATCAATGACTCCCAAACCAGACAGCTTTAGGGCATTAGGCGTTCAAACATCCCTACGGACTTACAAGCTCAAATCAACTAGGTTACAAATCAAAACAATATCCATCTAATCATTTCTTACTTCTCACCTTTTGGGAGAAGTCCTCACTTTTTTATTACTTTTGCAACTTTTTCTTTTTCTTTTCTCTTTTTTATTTTTTTTTATTCAATTATTAATCTAGAGTTTGGGCCTCCACCTTTCGGCGCGAGAAGTTCAGTGCTTGATGAGGCTAGAATCCTGGCTACTTAGTGAAAAGGGGTTTTTATCCACCTTTATCAAGAATGAAAGCTTTCAATGCACTACTAGCTTAATTGAGATATAACCAATTCAATAATCAACAAAGCATGTATCCCACAAATGAATGCTAGTGTGCATCTGTGCTAGTGTAGAATCCTAGAGTGAATATCAAAACAATCACAAAATCATGATGATGTGGACCATAAGTGCAAACAAGATATCAATCTTTCAAAAAATTTACTCCTAAATGGCATCCATAAGGCATACAAGGAGTATTGGACTCTCAAGTCAAGCAATTTTTAAATTTTAAGCAATATAGTTCTCAAAAGATCAAAATCATAGCTAGTCATGGACTAATCATAGAAAATCTCTCAAATACAGAAGACATGCTCAAAACTTTGCATTTAAAAACAAACATTGCAAAGCACCATTACCCCCAAACTTAAATGGCATAGTGTCCTCAATGTGCAAAGAGAACAAAAGGATAGAGTATACCAGTGCAATTAAGACAAAGAATGGCTGGGACGGAAGTATCCAAAGTGGGTGGCATAGCCCCCCCCAAACTTGGGATTAACTGTGATCCTGAAATTTGGCACTCAGATAAACTCATCAAATAACAAAAGGGATAATAACAGTGCACAGTGGACATGAAAGTGTAAATGGGATAGCAACTAAAAATTAGAGAGAGGTAAAAGGGTGGTCTTGAAAATTTTGGACAGTACTCTCTCTTACTGAAGTCACTGAGATGCACCTGATGGAGTCAAACAGACAGATATAAGAATATAAGAATATGACATCCATACAGAAAATATATATATAATGCAAGATAGAGTGCATAGTACATCATAAAATCATAGCCAACAGACCGGCTGCAAAAATAGTATACAGTGACAAAAATGTAGTCAGTATCACAAATATTAAGTATAATAAGGAAGAGAGGCTAGGAATCTCAGGTGGATGAGGCAGGACGGGCAGGGCGGGCTCCGCGGATGTCTCGGGATAGATCAAGAAATGCGGCCATGACATCCATGCGAAGGGTAGCAATGTCAGCTCTGAGGGCGACGGTCTCTGCGCGGATAGCTACCACTATGTCCTCCAGAGTCTAAAGACGCTCTCCAAAGCTGGGTATATGATTTAGAGCCTCAGGTGCTGGATCAGAAGAATAATGATCCTGAGCCTGCTCCTCATCATGAATGGGTGACCCAACTGGAGAGTGTTGCTTTGCGTCCTCGGCAAGCTACTCTTAATCAATGTCCTGTACGGCAGCCGGATCGACTGCTACGTCATCCACTGCCGGGTCTTCTACTACTGGTGCCTTTTCAGCCTCTAGCTCCTCTGCCACCTCTACTGCGTTATCCTATAATCTCTTGATAATAGCATTGTAGCTCTTATCCTAGTCCTTCTTCTGGAAGTGACAGGATCCTCGCTTAGGGTGCTCTCATGGATGGAAAGGATAGCGCTAGTCTAGCAAGATCTGGGTGATGAGGTGGCCAAATGGGAGAGACTTAGCCCTTTTGGGCCTCTCCTTCCTAATGTGATTATCATAGAGCTTCCTCATCACACTCCAGATTAGCGCAGAGATAGACAGCTAATGCCCTGTATCGAAAGCGTATAGAGCTGTCAAATAGTCACCTCTCCGCTGACTCTTATGACCGGCCATGAAGACATTGCGGAACAAGACTGAGTCAAAGAACCACAAGTCATCTGGCAAATAGGTGCGGGTGGCGAAGGTCTAGCCATCGGCATAATGACCTGTGAAAAGAACAGTCATATCTGCATATGAAGGCCGGTATAGCCTGGGATATGTCTCCTGTAGCTCTGAAGGGCAGTCATTTGAACAATTGCACGATCTGGATAATGTGTCCACAGTGATAGGAATCAGATGGCCATCAATGGAGGTCCTCAACTCCGCTATGTTACGCGGGGCAGGCCGGAGGTTCTGGAAGAACATCCGTACTAGCCTCGGGTACACCGGGTATGTGACAAGGGCAAGAATGGCTGCAAGGCCCCTCCGTAGTATATCCTCATAAGCTGATCGGGTAAGTATCGACCAGGAAAAGAAGTCTGTGTCGAAGACTGACTCATGCGCCACTGGAAGGCGTGAGTATCTGCGTAATGGCTGGTCTAACTCCTGGACTGGCTGAGTTGGCTGTGGTGGCGGAGATGGTATGTGCTCAGCCTCAGCGTCACCGTGTGAAGGAGATGCGCCAGTATCAGAGTGTAATCTGGTGTCAGAATGGGGAGACTGTGTGGGCTCAGCTGGCTCTTCCTGTATGGGGTCCTGGGCATGAGATGGACCGGCCTCGTCATCAAAAGTCTACCTACCTCGACGGTGATAGTGTCCGCAGGCTACAGTTTTGACCCAAGCCATGGCTTGTAAAATAATTGAAAACTTGCAAGGGAAGTCAGTGCCAGAATAAA